TTGAGGTTGGACTGCACGGGGAATGAGGAGGAGGGAGGCAGAAGCGGAAGAAAGGGAGGCTTCTTTTGCTGCCTCATCGGGCTTTCTGTTGCCTCTTGAGATTTTATCTGTTCCTGTTTGATGTCCCCAACAGTGTATAACTCCTGCCTCAGTTGGGAGATGTGCGGCCTGAAGGAGCTGGTAAATAAGGGGGCCGTTAGTGATAGGGGTCCCTTTGGCAGTAAGGAATCCCCTCTCTTGCCAGATGGCGGCACGGGAATGAAGAATGTGATATGCTTATTTGGAGTCTGTGTAAATGTTGACTCGTTTGCTTTTGGAAAGGGTTAGGGCTCTGGTGAGAGCTATGAGTTCTGCTTTTTGAGAGGAGGTTCCTGGAGGTAGGGGCTTAGCTTCAATTACTCGGTCAAGGGAAACAACTGCATACCCAGCAATTTTGGAGGAGCCGGTGGGCCCGGAGGAGGAGCCATCTATGAATAGTTGGTCATCGGGGTTGGTGAGAGGCTTGGAGGAAATGTTAGGAAAGTGTGGCTGCAGGTGATCTAGGATGTCAGTGCAAGAATGAGTAGGAGGAGAAGATACAGGGAGGAAGGATGCTGGGTTAAGGGGAGAACTTTTGGCAAGACTGAATTTGGGATTTTTGATAAAGAGGGCGGAGTAATCGAATCCGGGAAGGAGGAAGGGAGCCTAATGCTCGGGAGGAGAGGAGATCCTGTAGACTATGAGGACTGTAGACGGTGGTATTTTGACTGAATGTTAGTTTCCTGCTTTCTAGAGCTAAAGCAGCCGCTGCTGCTAGCGCTCTAAGACAGGTTGACCATCCTCTGGCTGTGTTGTCTAATTGTCTAGAGAGGTAGGCTACAGGGGCAAAGGAAGGAGGGTCTCCCTTCTGTTGCCCTAAGACACCGAGGGCTGTTCCTCGGCTCTCGGCAGTATAGAGAGTGAAAGGTTGGGAGACACCAGGTAGGGACAGAGCTGGAGCAGTGACAAGAGCAGTTTGAAGTTTGCAGAAGCTGGGGAATATGTTATGCGAGGGATTTAGAGGCTCATTGAGAGGGCCTTTGGCTGCTTCATACAGCGGGTGAGCTAGGAGGGCAAAGTTGGGAATCCATATTCTTAAAAAGCTTGCTAGTTCTAGGAAGGAAAGGACTTTGCTTTTGGAGGAGGGTGCGGGCAGATTATCTATTAGTGCTGCTCGGGCGGGGGTCATAGCCTGGGCCCCAGGAGAAAGTTGAACTCGTAGGTAAGTTACTATGGAGGTGGAAAGTGGAGCTTTGAACAGGGAGACTCTATACCCTTTGGTGGAGAGAAAGTTTAAGAGTGACTGTGTGGGTTTGAGAGTCTTCTAGAGAGGGCTGCAAAGGAGAAGATTGTCCACGTATTGAAGGAGACGGCTTAGGGGAAAGGTTTAAGGAGGTGAGATCTCGAGCTGAAGCTTGTCCGAAGAAATGAGGGCTATCTCTGAAGCCTTGAGGGAGGACAGTCTAGGTGAGTTGTTGTGACTGGAGAGTGTCAGGGTCGGTCCAGGTGAAAGCAAAGAGGTTTTGGGAATCAGGGTGCAGGGGATAGTAAAAAAGGCATCTTTTAGGTCAACAGCAGTGGTAGTGGGTGGTGTTGGAGGGAATGAGAGGGAGAAGTACATAGGGGTTAGGAACTATGGGGTGAATAGGAAGGACAGCCTGATTGATGGCTTGGAGGCCTTGGGAGAGTGGGTATGAACCGTCTGATTTTTTAACCGGAAGGGTGGGGGTGTTACATGAAGAATGTGTTGGCCTAAGAAGACCGCGTGAACAGAGCTTGTTTATAATGGGCTGTAAGCCTTTTTGGTGGGTTAGGGAGATGGGGTATTGGGGGATGTTGTGAAATTTAGAGAGGTCTTTTAACTGGATTTTGATGGGGTCATGGTGAGCAGCTAGAGAACGGGTGGTGGTGTCCCATCCTATTGGGTTTATGAGAGAGGTGGGAAGTGGGTACTGGGGAGAGAGGTCAGGGGCTGGACTAGTAGGAGTAAGAGGGACTCTGGTTGAGGGAGGCAGAAAAAGGTGATAGAAGCTTTGAATTTGGCCAAAATTTGAATTTGAATTTGAATTCTAAATTGAATTTGGTTTTGAATTTGGTTTTGAATTTGGCCTAGGGAGGGGGCAGGGCAACGAGGCATGGTAAGGAAAGAGTGTGAGAAAACAGTATCAAACAGAGAGCAAATAAGGGGTCTGATGGCACATGGATGCAGGATGCCATCGTCCCCCATGACTGAGACCTGAAAGGGATGAGTGGGTCCTGAAAATTCAGGCAAAGCCGAGTAGGTGGCCCTGCTATCAATTAAAAAAGAGATCAGCTTACCTGCTACTTGCAGAGTTACCCTGGGCTCTGATGCAGTGATGGCAGATGGGGCCGGGGGCCCTGGCCCGTAGCTGCAGGAATGCAAGCAATTCTTCATATTTTGTCATGTTAAAGGGGTGGTGGCTCTGAGGAGCAGGCTTCTCTGTCCGTTTGCTGAGAGGACAGTCAGACTTCCAGTGGCCTGTCTGCTGGCTGACTGGGCAAGGGCTCTTTGGCACTCGAGGGTTAGGACATGCCCATGCCCAATGGCCTTCTTTGCTGCCCTTAAAACAAGGCCTGGAGGGTTGCTGCTATCAGGTCTTTTGTGCCCTTGGGTAATATGGCTGAGTTGACGTATAGCTGCTGCTAGAAGCTGGTATAGCTGCTGCTAGAAGCTGGTATTTAGCACGATTTCTTTGGGCTTTATCTAGTTTATTTTGCTCATCCCTGTTATTAAAGACTTTGAGAGCCAGGTTAAGGAGGTCTCGTTGTGGGGTCTGAGGGGCATCTTCAGCCTTTTTAAGTTTGCGCCAGATGTCGGGGGCAGTTTGGGAAATAAAATGGGTGTTAAGAACAATAGTTCACTACTTCTCAGGAGGCAGGATCGTCGCGGGTATATTTTTGGAGTCTCTGTAAGGCAAGAAAGGAATTGGGCAGGGTTTTCGTTGGCCTTTTGGGAGCTTCCTTTGAGTTTTTCAAAATTTACAGCCTTATGGCCAGTTTTGTTAAGGCCTGCAATGAGGCAAGTAATCATATGATTACAGGAGGCCTGGCCGGATTCTGTGGGTTGATAATTCCAGGTAGGCTCTTCTCGGGAAACGGCAGCGCCCCCTACTGGCCTAGTAGAATCTTGCCGACGGAGGTCATCGGCACGGGCCTGGGCTGCAAGCCACACTCTTTCCTTTTCTTCCGGAAGGAGGGTAGAAGACAAAATAATATAGAGATCATGCCAAGTAAGTTCATAAGACTGGGTGAGATATTTAAATTCTTTGATATAAGTGTTGGGATCGGAGAAGGACCCGAGACGTTTCTCAGTTTGGGAGAGATCGGAGAGGGAAAAGGGGATGTGGACGCAGACGATCCCTTCGGCCCCTGACACTTCCCAGAGAAGCAGCAAGGGAGCAGGCTGCTGGGCGTGGTGGGCTCGAGAACGAGTACGCGGTGGCGATGGGGAGGACTCAGAGTTGGAGGCGGGGTGGTTGGAGAGAGGGAGAGAGAGGTAGAGCCGGAGCGGAGGCGTACGGTGGGGGGTCATGCTGTTCTGGTGGAGGATTAGGATGTTGTCGAGGAGGGGAGAAATCAGCGGGATCAAAGAAGGGAGAAGTCGTCGGCTGGGGCTATTGAGATGAGGGGAGCAGGAGGCCAGTCGGGTTTGGAGCAGGCGAGGAGAATTTGGAAGGTACAGCAGGACTGGCGGAGGGAGGGACAACTACGGACAGTAGAGAAAGCCTGAACGTAAGGAATCTCAGACCACTTCCCACAGCGCTGGCAAAAGTTGTCTAAGTCCCTGAGCATGTTGGAATTGAAAGCGCCATTTTCAGGCCATTGGGAGCCATGGTCTAATTTGTATTGAGGCCACGCGGCGTTACAGTAAAAGATAAGCCTTTTAGGGCAGATTTCTGAACAGAGGCCGAGAGTACTGAGATTGTGTAGGAGGCACCCAAGGGGGGTGGTTTTAGGAGGAATAGACTGAGAGGCTCCCATAGTGAATGGGAGTGAAGGGAGAGGGGTAGAGGAAGAAGAGACTGCCGGTGACGTCCCTTTCCCGTGGAACTTGTCCGGAATAGAGGAGGTAACCGCCGTGTTAGGCGTCCCTGAAATGGAGGAACCAGAGGCCCAGAGGGTGGAGGAAGCCCTTGGCCCAGCCAAGGTCTTTCGGAAACGGAGAGATGGATGGTAAAGAGTTCCAGGGAATGGCAACAGTGTCTTTTTACTCACCCTGGCAGAGGCTTTGATGGTGGATGAAGTCACCAGCAATGGGAGAGTCTAGGAGATTCTCTGGGTCTTTGGCAGGTTCAGGGAAGGGAAGATTGGCCAGGAGAGGGGTGATAGGGGAGGGAGGCAGAGAGAGAGAAAGAGAGAGAGAGATTGATAGTGAGTGAGTCCTGGCCAGAGTCTATCCCCCTTTCCGGGTTTTGGCACCAGAAAGTAAGGTCAGCCAAGAGAAAGGAAAAATTGACCCAAAGTCAGGCAAGCAAGTTTTTATTAACCTGCTGCTGCCCCCTTAACAGTCAGAGGAAGTAGCCCCAAGCTTACAGAATGAGGGGTTTATATTGGGGAGGGGAGTTTGAGGGAATTCTTCGGTATGGATATCCCAGGATTGTTTGCTGGTTAATTTAGCCACATATCACCTTGTGATGTTTATGGTAGCGACTAGATGAAGAGCAGGAACTTACAGGAGGGTGTAGGTAAAGTTTGTTTATGCTTCCCACAACCTCCCCCTATGCGGTCCAGATGGTTTGTAATTGGGGTTTGCTTATCGAAGCAAGGTCTGATGAGTGAAGTCTGCTGGCTCTGAAGTGGCACCTAGATAAGAGCTTAGAAATATAAAGAGGCTTGGGGGAAGGGTAGACGGCACGGAGAAGGGTTGCAGAGCATTAGAGGGAGGGGTGGGCAGCACCAAGAGGCTTTTTTGGGGTAGTTTGTCCCTAACACTGACCACAGTGCCCCTTGTGCCCTTCCAGTCTGCAGCCCCTCTTCCCTGGAGTAAATGAACTGGACCAAATCTCAAAAATCCACGAGGTCATCGGCACACCTGCTCAGAAGACCCTCACCAAGTTCAAACAGTAAGTGTTGTGCTCTGAGAGTGGACGTGGACTCACTCCCCTGCCAGGACCTGTGGCAGGGCAAGCCCCTCCCTGAGCCTCCCTCAAACCCCTCACTCTCAGGGCTCCAAGTTCACCTGAGGGCCAGTGAGTGGCTGCTCAGACAGAGCCCATCACTTTAAGGGGTCTCAAAGGTGAGCTCTTCCTTGAGCATCACAGAAAGATTTGCCACAGGCTTTCTGAGGGCCGGGGAGTCAGGCTCTGTTGCCTGAGTAATTTAAACAGGACTTAGAAGCCTTTGGGTGGAAATGTTCCCCAAGCACACACCGTAGGTGGTGAGGGCTTTCTGCAGCCCTCCATGGCCCTGCTGGCGGGACCGACACCTGGAAGAGGTGTTCCCAGACTCTCAGGGGTCATTCTGATGACGCTGAGGCTGGGGAGTCGGGACTCCCCAGGGAGGGCCTGTGGGCTGAAGGGGCGAGTAGCACCTAGCAGCCCCCAGATCCCAGGGAGGGAGAAGGTGGCAACAATTTTGGACTCTTCTTTTTTTTTTTTTTTTTTTTTTTTTTGAGACGGAGTTTCGCTCTGTCGCCCAGGCTGGAGTGCAGTGGCCGGATCTCAGCTCACTGCAAGCTCCGCCTCCCGGGTTTACGCCATTCTCCTGCCTCAGCCTCCCGAGTAGCTGGGACTACAGGCGCCCGCCACCTCGCCCGGCTAGTTTTTTGTATTTTTTTAGTAGAGACGGGGTTTCACCATGTTAGCCAGGATGGTCTCGATCTCCTGACCTCGTGATCTGCCCGTCTCGGCCTCCCAAAGTGCTGGGATTACAGGCTTGAGCCACCGCGCCCGGCCTTCTTTTTTTGTTAAAGTTTATTTCATTCTTCTCATGCGGGAAGGTAATATTAATCTTTTATAGGAAAGGTAGTTTTCTTACATTTATAGCATAACAGATCCCCCCCTTTACCATAGACTATTTTAATAGATTTTTTTTAAGAGCAGTTTGAGGTTTCCATAGAGCCCTGTGCCCACGGGCACACAGCCTCCCCGGTGGTCAGCACCCCCTCGAGTGGTGTGTTAGTTATGGTCGATGAATCACGGATATCTCATTACTGCACAGGGCCCATCATGTACATCAGGGGTCCCTCTTGGTGCTGCACGTTCTGTGGGCTGGGACAGGTGTAGACTGCACCATGCAGGGCCCTTAGTCGTGACAGTGGACCGCCGGTGCACTCAGTGACAGCGTGACCGTTTATTATCATTGGGCTTTTAATACAGGTCGAGAGCTATGAATTTTGATTTTCCTTTTAAAAGGGGATCAGGAATACCTCTACTGACAACCAGTTTGTCCCCACAATGCCTCTCCCTCCTGCACGCAATGGTGGCCTATGACCCCGATGAGAGAATCGCCGCCCACCAGGCCCTGCAGCACCCCTACTTCCAAGAACTGAGGTGGGCGCTCTCCCGGGTTCTGTGGGGCGGATGCAGGACCTGGCACAGGAGACCCATGGGCACACAGTGGGGCAAGGGACTGCCCTCTGGAGGGTCCCTGGTTCTTGGGAATCACGCTCTCCATCCTGAAGAGTGGTCAGGGCCTCTTGGGGCCCCCACCGTGCTGTGTTCTGACGTATCCTCCCCAAAATGAGGCTGTTAGCAGCTCCATGGCAGGAGAAAGAGGGGCTGGCTGCCCACTTTGTGGTTGATGCAGAGGCTACAGGTAGTAAGCCTTCTAGAAGAGCCTGGTGTGCAGCCCTTGTAAATGGTGTGAACAGGACGCATTCTGAGATGTTAGAGCACTTTGGATGTCACCTGGCACTGGAAGTACCTGCTGAATGTGAATCTAAGACTTGTCTGCCCTGAGGTCATCTAATTCCGTACCTCTGGACACTCCTGTATGCGTCACTGTGGAGGTGACAGTTTGACCCCAAACCGTGAGTCCCTGGGTAGGCAGTGCCTCTGGTTCATGCAGCCAGCTCTGTTCCTGGCCCAGAGACTGCCAGGCTGAGACAGAAAAGAAAAAAAAAAAAAAAGCCCCCTGATTACAGCTTATGCAGAAAAGAAGAGCTAGTGGCAACTCACACAGTAGACAAATTGGAGGCAAAGAAGCCAACAGGCCGTGTGCTCTGCGGGCTCTCAGTGGAGCTGCTCCGTTCTCTTCTCCTTCCCCATAGGAAAACAGAGAAGCGGGCTCTGGGCAGCCACAGAAAAGCTTGCTTTCCGGAGCACCCTGTGGCACCGGAACCACTCAGTACCAGCTGCCAGATTTCAAAGGAGGGCAGAAAGCAGGTACTAAGCGAAATCGGAGCTGGAGACCACCCAGCTCAGCGGGGACCGGATGCCCTCAGGTGGCCTGTGTCTCTCTGAGGAGGACGCCACCTGTGGAGGCTGTGGCAGACCATGTTGTCAGTCGAGGCCTGAACAGCATGCGAATTGATGGCTGCATATGTTGGGATGTCAGGGACCCCAGTTCTATTTGCTCAAGCCCTTTCTGCCCCAGTAGCTAAGAATTAATGACGAATATCCCATGTGAGCAGGCCCAGAGAGGGGACCCTTGCATGAACTTTTGTGTCTGTCCTGATGACCACATGCAGGTGCTAGGTTCTATGCCAAAGCACTGTGGAGACATCGTCCCTCAGAACGGCCCTGGAGGGAGGCGCCGAGAAGATGCAATGCTGGTCCGAGTCACCCACCCAGCTGGTGACAGGCCTCAAGTTCTAGGCCCGAGTCACCGACCCAGCCGATGACAGGTCTCAAGTCCTAGGCAGGCCACGCTGTCTCTGGCCCCAGATGAGCACTTCGTCCCATCAGCGGAGGTTGTGCACATTTTGGGTTGAGAAATGCCAGCTTTGCTCCTCAGTGCCTTCACCTTCCCACCTACCATGTGACATCCTAGCCCGGTGCAGCCCTGTGGCACCTGCTGGCAGGATTGCACCAGTCTCCCAGTTCTGGGCTGGCACCCCAACAGTGTGACAGTGTGCCCTTCCATCATTCATCTGTTCGGTTGTCCCTACGTCACTCGCTCCTCCCAGCCTTTACTGAGTGCTCCCTGCCCGCTTGGGAGCTGGGAACCCAGAGCTGCAGTCAGACTGCTCTCCAGAAAGCCAGGCTCCTGTGTCCCGTTGGCCCCCGATTTGACAGCTCCACTTGAATGTCCAAAAGACAAATGTGCTGAAACCCCTTCTCCTGATCTTTCCCCCAAATGTGCTTTTTCCCTGTAGCTTCCCATGGCCTTCCCTCCAGGGCAGGCAACTCCGCCGACTGCCCAGGCCCCCCGTGGACCCTTCCTTCATCTCACAGGGGCTTCGCCTTCTTGCCTCCTACATCCTCCTCACCTTGCCTAAGTCACCACAGATGGCCTCCTCACTACTGTCCCTGCTCTGCCTCTGCTCCCTCCTGGACAGAGGGTCTGCTTCAAACCGTTGATGTCACTCCAGGCCGCATTCACCCAAGTCCCCACCCTCAGTCACATCCGAGGTCGGCATGCTTTTCTCTAAGGGCCCGACAGAAAATATTTTAGGCCCCGTGGCCGTGGGGTGCTGGTTACACTCCCCGCTTTGCTGCAGTGTGAAAGCAGCTGGAGGCAACACAGGAACCACATCGGGGGCTGCGTTCCAGTAGAACTGGGAACACTAGAATTTGAATTTCACATCATTTTCATATGCCATGAAACATTTTTTTTTCAATTATTAAAAAATATAAAAACTGGGTGGGTGTGGTGGCTCACACCTATAAACTCAGTGCTTAGGGAGGCCAAAGTAGGGTCACTTAGGCCAGGAGTTTGAGACCAGCTTGGGCAACGTAGGCAAGACTACTCCCCCACCACCCCATCTGTTTTAAAAATCAGCTGGGTGTGGTGGTGCGTGCCTTTAGTCCCAGCTGCTTGGGAGGCTGAGGCAGGAGGATCACCTGAGCCTAGGAAGCTGAGGCTACAGTGAGCCAAGATTGCACCACTGCACTCCAGTCTGGGCTACAGAGCAACACCCTGTCTCAAAACACAAACAAAAAACAAAGAAACCCAAATGTAAAACCATCCTTAGCTTACAAGCCCCCCAAAAGCAGGCAGCAGGCAGGTCAGAGTGTGAGGCCTTGGAGCTAGAGCAGGAGGCCGGAGGCGTGGGCACCACTGCCCGCCAGCCCTTTGCCACCCACACTCCTCAGCTCGCAGTCTGCGTGCTTCAGTTTCCCCCTGAAGGTTTGGCCTCTGCCGTGGGACTCTCGTGAGCAGCCACTCCCTTGGGGTGTCTGGGACCTGGTGAATGTGTCGCAGTCACATCTCATGGTCAAGAAATTGTATTAGCCAGGCCGGGCGCGGTGGCTCACGCCTGTAATCCCAGCACTTTGGGAGGCCGAGGCGGGTGGATTACGAGGTCAGGAGATCGAGACTATCCTGGCTAACATGGTGAAACCCCGTCTCTACTAAAAATACAAAAAACTAGCCGGGCGTGGTGGCGGGCGCCTGTAGTCTCAGCTACTGGGGAGGCTGAGGCGGGAGAATGGCGTGAACCCGGGAGGCGGAGCTTGCAGTGAGCAGAGATCACGCCACTGCACTCCAGCCTGAGAGCACAGCGAGACTCTGTCTCAAAAAAAAAAAAAAAAAAAAAAAGAAATTGTATTAGCCAAAAGCAGTACAAAAGAGCCTCTTTCATTTTTCCTAATTTCCATAAAGGGGAAAGCATTTTATGTCCAACTGGCCTCTGTTCTGTTTCAAGAAACAGTCCCTAAAGCAAGAGGAGGACCATCCCAAGAGACAAGGACCGGCCTACGTCATGGAACTGCCCAAACTAAAGCTTTCGGGAGTGGCCAAACTGTCGTCTTACTCCAGCCCCACGCTGCAGTCCGCGCTTGAATCTGGGACAAATGGAAGAGCGCCGGTGCTGAGACCCTTGAAGTGCATCCCTGCGACCAAGAAGGTAGCACGGAGCCAGCTTCTCCGGCGGCTCTGCTCTCCCGCCCTGCCCAGGCCGCCACTGAATTTCGTGTCTGTAATTTTTCTTTGACAGACAGATCCGCGGAAGGACCTTAAGCCTGCCCCGCAGCAGTGTCGCCTGCCCACCATAGTGCGGAAAGGCGGAAGATACTGAGCATACTGAGCAGCACAGTCGTCTCGACTTCCGGAGGCAACACCAGGCCCGATCGGGCCAGGCCTGGGCGATCTGCCGCTGAGACGCCACGGAGGGCTGGGGACGCACCTGCGTCCGTTTCGCGCTGGCTGGGGCTCTGGGTGCTGCCCTGCGCCCCGCCGCACCCGCGGCCCGCGCAGCTGCCCAGGATGTTCTGGGCTAATACATTTGTAAAACCACATTCTAGGGTTTTCTTTCATTTTCGTTAAGAATTTGGGGCAGGGAATATTTTGTAACTTTGTATATGAATCAAAACAAGCAGGCATTTCTGTGATCAGTTGGGCGTGGTTGGAAGGTGGGCTCTGCGTGTCCCCTCCCAGCGCTTTTCTGGCGCTGCTGGTCAGTCGTGGAGCGCACCACCTCTTACCAGTGACGCTACTGGACACCCCGACTTTTATTAAAGAATAAGCTGTCGTTACAGTATTGCATTTTAATATTCTCCGAGTCCAACATGTGTCCTTACCAGCCATTCCTTTATTTTAGCTTTTGTGGGCACATGAGGGGAATTGATTTTGTTAGGAAGGCTTTGATGTGGCTTAATTTTTTTTTTTTTTTTTTTTTGAGGGGGAGTTTCGCTGTTTCCCAGGGTTGGAGTGCAGTGGTGCGATCTTGGCTCACTGCAACCTCCACCTCCCGGGTTCAAGGGATTCTCCTGCCTCAGCCTCCAGAGTAGCTGGGATTACATACATGCGCCACCACGCCCGGCTGATTTTTTGTATTTTTACTAGAGATGGGGTTTCTCCATGTTGGTCAGGCTGGTCTCAAACTCCTGACTTCAGGTGATCCTCCTGCCTCGGCCTCCCAAAGTGCTGGGATTACAGGCATGAGCCACTGCGCCCGGCCTGGTGTGGCTTAATTTTCATTTGAAGAACCACTCAGGAAGGAGCATACACAGGCATGTCCTTGGAGCCCTGTGTGCTCCTCAGTGACCAGCCTGGCAAGGTGGTACGGGGCACAGGGCAGGCCTGCAGGGTCTCTTCTGAGCACAGGCTTCAAGGTGACCACGTTGTCATTTTAGCTCCTGGTGCCCACCTGTCTCTGGGGAGTATGGAGCCCCGCCCCAGGCCTGCCAGTGGGTGCTTTGAGCTATTTGCCGAGTGCCAACAATAAGTTGGGTACCTTGTGTCCTAGAAAAAGAAACCTGCTTCCCCGTGGGGATGGGATGGGAACATTGCAAAGAAACTGGCACTGGCCGGGCTGCTGGGCACAAGAAAAGTCCTAGTAAGTCCTCGTTTATCTTGTAAAGTAACTTAGTAATTGGGTCCTCCTTTTTTTTCTCATCTTCCCAAACTTATGAGATATATTTGAAAAAAGCTAAATTTCCCGGGCTAGTGTTTAGGCCTCCTTGTTCCTGTGTTGAGACACATCTGTGACACCCTTCCTTCATGTGCTGTCCAGTGGCTCTGGCCCCAGCCCCAGGCCATCTGACACGACAGTGGACTCTGGGCCATACGGAGGGAGGGCAGGCTGGAGGAGGAGGAAAGGGCTGGGAGCGTGGGGCAGCGAGTCCATAGGTACAGGTGCCCGGTCTGTGCCACATGGGGGTCAGAGGAGCCCAAGAAGAATGGCAGATGACAGCCCGGAAGTGAGGCTTGCCATAATGTTCAGAGCAGGCCTCTCCCCGGGCTCCTTTTAAACCCGTTTGAGACCCTGGTGCAGCCTTCAGGGCTGCCCTTGCTGTAGGGGAGGTGTCTGAGCAGGGGGGGTGGCACCGTTCTGCCTCCACAGAGGGCCTGGGAGTCCCAGGGGAGTCGGACACGAGGGATGTGGGCAGAGCCCAGCAGCAGGGAGGGCTGGGGGACTGAAGGCTGGGGAGGTAGGGGTGGGGGTGGGGTGCACAGGTCACAAGAGAGGGACCTGTGGGTAGGGGAGTGGTGGCTAGGAGGGGCGCGCCCTGTCCCCGGGCCTGGCTTCAGTGTCGGGCATGTAAACGGATTGTTTGTGTACTTGGGAAACGTGTTCTTCCCTTTACATCTAAAAATATGAAGGGAAAGTCTTGACAGTTCTTCTGCAGGCCTTTTTGAGAAAGCAAGTGTGGTCTGCAGATGCTGGTGCCCCGGACATCAGCTGCCCTGACTTCTGTCACCCTCCTCGTGGTGGGGGCAGCACGGCTGGGGGCTCTCTGAAGGCAAGAAAGTCCCTAAAGCAAGAGGAGGACCATCCCAAGGCCCGCCGCTTGAGGCCCTCCTGGTTTTGTTGGACTTGGACATAAACGCTCTGAAGCAATGTAGAGCCCCCGGCACGCCAGGGCCCAGGGCAGCTGGGCCTCCAGGATGGAGGTGAGCAGGGGACAGAGCCCAGCTCCACAGGCCCCTCCATGGAGGAGAGACGGGGGTCTGTGGCGCACAGCAGGGTTCCCACATCGGCTTCCCAAGTCCAAAGGTGGAGATTCCGAGGGTGATGATTTCCTGCAGATTTGGAGAAAAGGGAAATCCTGCCGGCCACCCTTGGACTTCCTGCCCTGCACTTGGCCCTCGCACCTGCCTGCTCTCGGCAGCAGGCGCCAGGATCCCCAGGCTGCCTTAGCTGTGTGTGGTTCCCTGTGTCTGTCTGGGCCCTGTGATGGGGGCCAGGGCTGAGGGCAGAGGGGCCAGGCTGGCTCAGCCCATAGGAGGCCACCTCACCCTGCTGCTGCCTCTGCCGCCCCAACTGGAAAGCTGGCCGGATTATTTCCATTCTTCTGTGCAATGCAACTGAAGCGCTTGAATTATCCCCACAGAAGCCAGAACGGAGGCAAGGATGAGGCCTCAGCCATCCTCCTCCCCATTCAAACACGTTCATCCCACAATCCTCTGCTGAGCACCTGCGCTGCACTGTCGCCCTTCTTGTGCGAGCCTACCCTCGTCCACCCACCTCACCCTCCTGACCTTAAAGAAGACACTAGGCAGAAGCACAGGGGAGCCACTCTCCACACTGGTGGGGCGGGCCTTGCGGGGAGAAGCAGTAAGCAGCCATCTCCGTCAGCCATCTCCGTCTGGCACTCAGATGTGCATGCCTTCGTGTGACAGGCAGCAGCAGTGTGACCGTGACCTCCCGTCTCCTGCTCTGCTGCCCCCACAACTGCGGTGCAGCCAGCCTGCCACGAGGCAGCTAGAGTCCAGCTAGACCCACCCCTGGCAAGGCCGACCTCTTCCTGGCTTTCTCTGGGCCTAATCCCGTGAGGAGCGTGCATTCTTCAACGCCGGAAGTGTAAGGAAGTTCAAGGCAAGTGAGAAAAACCCAAATCGTCCCAGGGAAGCTCGTCTTTCCAGGGCGTCTGAGTGAGGGCATGACCAGCCTTGATGCTGCCTCACTGCCATCTGCCCAGGGCCTGCTGAATGCTTGAGTCCGTGGTGACAGTGGTGGGGACAGTTACGAGGCAGTTAGAGTTTGGAAGTCATCTTGGCCGACTTGGCTACAGAGCAGTCTTAGGAACAGCGCCATAAAAATAAAGATTTATTCCTGGCACAGATGCATCTAGAGTAAACTGGGGCATATCTGACAGCGTTAGTACTGTGATGGCCAAATGCAAAGTGCACTCCAGAATCAGCGAAGGGTGACAGACTGGGCTGAGGCAGAGCTAGGACTAACCATCTCGAGTGATACCATCTCGGGGCCAGCAAAAGTTTTGGACACAGCTGGGTCATCTGACCAAACTGCTCAAGTCTTTACGTAATTATTGTCCTGGTATTAAATTTCCACCTGCCACTTTCCACAAACAGGAAACAGAATAAGGAGATGACCAGGAAGATTGCCAGATTAAGAATTCTAGACTTGGCCAGGTGCGGTGGTTCATACCTATAATCCTAGCATCTTGGGAGGCTGAGGCAGGAGGATCGCTTGAGCCCAGGAGTTTGAGACCAGCCTAGGCAACATAAGGAGACCCCATCTCTACAAAATACCAAAAAATTACTCAGGTGTGGTGGCACACATGCGTGATCCCAGCTACTCGGGAGGCTGAGGTGGGAGGATCACTTGAACCCAGGAGGTTGGGGCTGCAATGAGCTATGATCGCACCACTTCATTCCAGCCTGGATGATAGGTGAGATTCTGTCTTAAACAGAAAATAATTTTAGACTTATTTTCAAAAGTAGTTCCTTCTGACTTCCAAATACACCCACGGTTCACTGTAGCTGTTTTGGACCCTCCTGGGTTTGGCTTCCTGTGTAACTGACAGCACCTAGCAATCAGTACTTTAAGATGACAGAAATACCAAAGTACCTAAAATGTGCTAATATTTTAATACAGAGGTCACTCTGCATGTGTCTGATTTATCCATTCTGATTCTTTCATTTAGAACAGCAAGTCTTAGTGTCTTGTATTTCTCTTTCTAGAAGACTCACACCATAGTTCATGGCCCCGTGATCCAGAGGCCCTGCTGGGGCCTCTGAGTGGGGCAGGCTGAGAACTCAAGCCGTAACTAATCTCTCCCCTGAAGAAAACTAAACTGAGGGCTCAGATGATGTGAAGTTTTCTGTGGCTGCATTCATACAAATGGTGAAAATGTAGCATATCTCCCCTCAAAAGCCCGAAATTAAAGACATGCCCCCAATTTAATGTGATCAATTACAGAAATAGGTTTCAGACACTTCATGGTTTAAAGTCTCACAAAATAAAGCTTTCAAAGGATCCAGCTGTATATGATTTTTTAAAAAAATAAACGTTCTTCTGCTTGGTAGCTGCACATTCTGATGCAATTCTAGTAACTCGTTGAGCAGGTGTGGGATGCCCTAGGCTCATAGATGCTCATGAGCTGGTTCAACCAAGTAAGAAAAATCTCAGGTAAGGCCGGGCAGGGTGGCTCACACCTGTAATCCCCGCACTTTGGGAGGCCGAGGCGGGCGGATCATGAGGTCAGTAGATCAAGACTATCCTGGATAATACAGTGAAACCCCGTCTCTACTGAAAATACAAAAAATTAGCTGGGCGTGATGGCAGGTGCCCATAGTCCCAGATACTCAGGAGGCTGAGGCAGGAGAATGTCATGAACCTGGGAGGCAGAGCTTGCAGTGAGTTGAGATCACGCCACTGCACCCCAGCCTGGGTGACGGTAAGACTCTGTCTCTTTAAGAAAAAAAAAAAAGAAAAAAATCAGGTAAACAGTTTGATTAGCTAGTTCATGTCCCACGTTCATACTCACTGTAGAAACTGTTATGTGTGGTCACAGGCTTTCAACGACAAAAGAAGGACTCGAAGCTGTAAGGAAACATGATCCTGAAACCCTGTGCACACGGCAGCTGCCCACAGTGGCCACAGACAGGTGAGGCTGCGAGGCGGCCACGGAGCCCACGCCCTCCTGAGCCGTGTTCTTGAACATCCCGTCGCAAGTGTGACTGACGGGGCTTCTAGTAACATGGGGTGAAAAAGACAAAACAATTCCATACCAGCCAGTTCAACCAAAATGTACAGGAGAGACTAAGCCAATTTAACAGAAGATAAACAAGCGGTG